TAAAAAAAAAGAAATATTTTAAATATAACTTTGTTGTTCTTTTTTTGTTATATACATAAATACACCTAAGTACATTTATGTTTATTTCAACAGTCGTATAAATATATTAAATTTTACTTATATATATGATATGCATATTTAAACAGTTAAATAACATTGCTTCTCTATATACTAGTTTGTGCATAAGATTGATCCTAAGGGTACAATTTAATAGTTAATAAATACACTTAATTTTAAATCTTTCAAAATAAACAAATACATCGTCAATTTAAATAGTTACTAAATCTATAGCCATTTAAATGTAATAATATTAATATGAATTCTGCTAATAGCCTCTTGATTATGAGCAATAACAAATAATCTTTCGTAAATCTATAGCCATTTAAATTTAATAATATTAATATGAATTCTGCTAATAGCCTCTTGCTTATGAACAATAACAAATAATAATAATAACAATGACGCAGATGACTTAACAATTGTAGCTAAGAATTTACTTGAATATCACATAATTAAATCAGATTCTTACAATTATGTTTTGGTTTCTGTTGCATTCGATTGAGAAGTGGGCGTGGCGGGCAGTTTGCTCGTTGACAATCCAATGGAATTATCTATGGGCAGAGGTAAGCCAAAATCGTGCTTCATATACGACATGAGCACATTGTAAGCCGCCGTGCATACATTGACAAAGGCGACACGATATTTGGTGTCCAGGTAACGAAAATTAATGTACTGTGCCGCTGGCCATGTTAGCCAATCCATCAGATATATGTAGGGAAACTTGCTAATTAGCTCCTCATTCGTGGCCTGTAGCGTTTGTCGCTCCAAGAGACACACTGTATAGAAGAACAACACAATGCACACGGGTGACATAAATAACTGATCAATGAGTATTTTGTTGACAATATTCTTCATTGTGCGATGCGGCATGATGCGATCCATCCAATTGTATACGAAATGATGCAGCGGACCCTGCACTGCGCCCGCCACGAACATACGAAAGATTCGTTCGCCATCATAGCTATTCTGGCGACTCAGACCGTGATGATATTCATACTCCTGGGCAATAACATCGCCCACAGCCATCAATATACCGGACCCGAGGACATTGGTCAGCAGCAGATATTTGCCAAACATTTTGCTCCACACCAGTTTGGTCCAACGCATAAGCATGAAAGTGCTAGCCTCGCTGGCCTCGCCCTTGCCATGTGCGTGCCGTCTTCCATACGTTCGGCCATAAGCGATTACATCAGGTCTGGGTAAGATTCGGGACTTGTTTGCAAACGCTGTGAATGTACGTTGTATTAAATATCTCCTGCTATGCTGCAGTAGTGGTTGATAGACAACTACGCATCCTCGAGCCAGCACATACATGCTGCCGCACAGATAGAAAGCACTACTTAAGGGAACAACCAAAACCGTCTACTTTCTAGAGCCTTGTCATCTGATAAGTATTTTTTTGTTTTTTTGTTATCACGTTACTAGTTCGTGTTTATTCTGATTATCGGTTTGCATAACGGCGAGCAGGTGGGCGATGATTCATCAACAGTCGATAGTGGATTAGTCGATAGTACTGGTTACCAAGAAAGCGTTAAAATCTATCGATACTTTTTATTGTTCGTTTATTAATTTTGATGATATTTGATATATTGAAAACTGAAAGGCAGTAAGAAAAAAATTGCAGAATACATGCACCCCCTTATCATTAAACATCTATTTGCTTAGCTTACATTGTTATAATCGAGTTGATTGGGTGACTAGTGTAGCAATGGCAATATTAAATTAATATTAGGTTTTCATTTATACAAGGCGCTCAGGAAGTCCAAGATCCATTATATTTTATTTAAAAATTAAACAAGGTAAAAATTAGAAACTATATGTCAAATACGTGAAAATTTTTAGAATTTATATTTGATATATCGATAGCACTTTAATATAGTTTTTTTTTCGTTTGACTTGTGCATCCCTGGCAACGTCGGCGTCACTTTTCTGTTTCTGCTTTGCTCTTTAGTTCGCGTTATTTTTAGGCCGCCTAACACAATTTTTTTCTCGACGCTAGCGCGCCAAATGTTTTTCTGGCTAAAATAGACAAAAAATTCCATCAAAACACGCAGGCTTCCACTTATAAAACACAACTCACACGCAGCGCTATCAAAATTTGTAAGGTTAGACACGACTAACAAAAAGTTGTCAAAAATATGAGAAATTTGCATGCATAAATTAAAAAAGTTGACAGTTGCTAATTTATTATATTACTGCAGTGAAAATTCAATGCCATGAGGCTACTTTACGTCTTCGCGCTAATAATGGCGGTGCGCATAGCATCGGTATTCGTGGTCCAGACTTATTATGTGCCGGACGAGTATTGGCAGAGCTTGGAGGTGGCCCACAAGCTAACATTCGGGTAAGCAGGACTGCGGGAGGTCGAAACTAGAGATGAGCGTGTGTTACATGACTCAATACAACTCGTTTCCGTTTGGTTAAATATGAGTGGAATGGCATGAGAGTGGAACATGCGCTCATTTGTAATGTTATTAATTACAAATATACTTTTCACATTTGCAGCTATGGCTACCTCACGTGGGAGTGGGTGAAGGGTATACGCAGTTATGTTTATCCGCTGATAATAGCGGGCATCTATAAATTGCTCGCTCTGCTGCAGTTGGACAGCGCCCAACTGTTGGTGCTTCTGCCACGCCTACTGCAAGCCACATTGACCGCCTACTCGGATTATCGGTTCTACGTCTGGACTGGCAAAAGAAAGTGGGCATTGTTCCTAATACTTGTGCCATGGTTCTGGTTCTACACGGGCTCACGCACGCTGTCCAACACGCTGGAGGCGTCGCTAACCACCATCGCCCTCAGCTACTTCCCCTGGATTGGCGAGGGCTCCGCTTACCTGTGGCCTGCTGCAATCTGTTGCTTTTTGCGGCCGACTGCGGCCGTGATCTGGGTGCCCTTGGTGATTTATCATCTGCGCAAGACGAGACAGCCTCCGTTGGAGCTGATTCTGAAACACTTTGTACTGATTGGGTATGTATGAACATATATACTGGCTTATATATATGTCTAAATTCCTCTTCTCTTATCCTTTCAGCGCTTTTGTAGCTGGCGTTGGTATTGCTATTGACACCTATTGGCATGGCCAATTGATTGTGACGCCTTGGGAATTCCTCAAGTATAATATTCTACACAACATTGGCAGCTTCTACGGCTCGCATCCTTGGTATTGGTACTTCACAGTGGGTCTGCCCACAGTGCTGGGCATTAATACGCTACCCTTTATCTATGGCATCATGGAGACCGTGCGCAAGGGCGACCGGCACCCAGTGAGCAAGCAGCTTTTGATTAGCATTTTGGTTACGCTGGTGGTGCTCAGTACGGTGGAGCACAAGGAGTTCCGGTTTGTGACTTCGCTGTTGCCGCTGTGTTTGTATGTGTGTGCTGAGTCTCTGTCCCGCTGGAGCTATCGCGCCTCGAGAACTCAACTCTGGGCAGCCGCTTTGATTATTCTGCTGGGCAATGTGGTGCCCGCTTGGTATCTGAGCACGGTGCACCAGAAGGGACCCATTGAGCTGATGCCCAAGCTGCAGGAGATTGCTAAGGATTATCGTGACGAGCGCGAACAACGCGCTAATATACTCTTCCTTATGCCATGCCACTCGACACCCTATTATAGGTTGGTCCTGGGGATTATTTATATATATCTATATGTTTATTGATCGTTGTCTTCTGCCTTTGCAGTCACATTCATGAGAATGTCACCATGCGCTTCCTCACCTGCAATCCAAACTTGGAGCAGCGAGAAAACTTCAAGGATGAGGCTGATCGTTTCTTTGAGGCGCCCATGCACTGGCTGCGATCCCATATACCCGTTCACCCCATCACTGCACAGCCTTCCCATGTGGTCCTCTTTGATTCGCTAGAGAAGAAGATCACCGACTTCTTGATTAATTACAAACTGTTGTACAGTATCGAGCACGCCGAGGTAAAGAAATGGGTTGAGTCACCTTTGCTGCAGGATTTGTCCACAGCATTGGGAACGCAACTGCCTAATGTCGCGTCTCTCTTGCAGCACGTGCATTCGCGTACGGGTAAGAGCATACTGGTCTATCAGCGCCTGAACAAGGGCGAGGAGAATGCATTTAATCGTCAGGAGGACGCGGAACTGCCAGCTGAGCCGCAATCGAGTGAAAATCTGTTCAATTAATTTATTTTAGAGTCAAGCAATATTTTCTTAAATTGTCCTTTTTCTATATAGCAAAGACTTGATGCGACATTTAGCCCTCCGTTACTGAAAACAAAAAGTAAGCAACTAATTGAAATTATTAACATTACGGCCTTAGTAACAGTTTTTAAAATGTATTTTCGAAACAGTTTATGTCATCAGATTTTAATAGTTTTGTCATAGTTGATAATATTTAAATCAATGATCTGGTATTAGGCGTGTATGTCTAAAGTGAGGCAATATATTTAAGTGCAACTAATTTAATAGTATCCTTTTTTAGTTCTTTTAAAATAAAAAGGTTGAGTAGAAAAAAAAAATATTTTTTTTATTTAAATCTGTATTATTTGTCGTATTTGGGTATTCCATTTTCGAGTTTAGGCCATGCTCTTAATAAAGAAGTTATTTCCTTAAAATATCGTTTTTAATATTATTTAATGTTGAAATATTTAATAAATATTTTTATGGTAAGTAACTAATAGCATTCGTTCATCTATCGCCAAATAGAGATGTGATTTTAACGATTGCCAGAGACACCTGTGCTAATCGATGTATCGCTGCGCTTAACGCGATATATCGTGTTGAGGATCCGTGTGCCGTCGCCGTCGTTTGCACTAATTAAACGCGTTTTAAACAATAAGCTGCACAGCTTCATTTCGCACAAGCGACAGCAACAACAAAAGCACACATACACAAATCATGGCTGCTTCAATGAGAGCGCTGCTGAAAGTACGAGGTAAGTAATAAAAAAATCCAGTGAAAAAATACCTATTGCGAAACATTTTTATGTGTGTGTAAAATTATATAACTTATGTGCAATTTATTGCACATAGAGCGATATACAATCAGAAAAGCGGCAACAAGTAACAGCTGCTTCTTATTGGGATGTATTAATTGGAAAAATTGTATGCTGATTAGCAGTGAAAACGACGTGGCTGCAATTGCGGCATATGAATGCATATGTATGTGTGTTAAATGTACATACATATGGGAAGAGGGCAGAGCTAGAGATGTGAGTGGGCCATGTTCAAGGTTCGCATGTGACCCGAAAAAAAGCAAAACAAACAACAAAAGGGAAATTGTTAATTGGGAAATTCACAATTATATTTGCATTCACCCTTCTTAGATGGCTTCACTGCCAGCGTACGTTGTGGCTCGCAGTACAACAAGACGCGTGGAAATCTGAAACTGACTGGAGACTCCCGTGTTATCTGCCAGGGCTTCACCGGCAAACAGGGAACGTTTCACAGCCAGCAGGCGCTGGAGTATGGCACCAAGCTCGTTGGTGGCATTTCGCCCAAAAAGGGCGGCACTCAGCATTTGGGCCTGCCCGTCTTTGCCTCCGTTGCGGAAGCCAAAAAGGCAACGGATCCCCATGCCACGGTCATCTATGTGCCACCACCCGGCGCTGCCGCTGCCATCATGGAAGCCCTGGACGCTGAAATTCCTCTGATTGTGTGCATCACGGAGGGTGTGCCACAGCACGACATGGTCAAGGTGAAGCATGCCCTGGTCAGCCAGGACAAGTCGCGCCTCGTCGGACCCAATTGCCCCGGCATCATCGCACCCGAACAGGTTCGTTTTTCAAGCAGCAATAAAAACATGATCTGATGCCTGAAGAAGGCCGCCCAAGAGATAAGGGAGATAAGCGCAGGGTGCAAAGTTCACGCGAGACGAATTCAAGCAGAACGTTCGATTAGCTTGCCGGTCGTTGGGTTTGTTACGTTATATGCCCTGGTAGAAATGTTGTGAGGGATATTTTGAGCAAAAGTACAAAAGGGAAATTGTTTATAGGGAAAATTCACCCTATCGCTACATTATATACTTTGATAAAAATGATGCGGGGAGTATTTTGAAAAACCGCAAATCAAAAATGGAATATGGGCGTGTCTAATGGTAGCACAATTTCTTGTCAGGTATGCCCTACTTTTCTATAGAAGGAAGGTATATAGGCTAAAAACTAGTTTGAAATAAAAATGTCCTAAGCCTAAGTATAAAGTCCAAGGTTCACTAAACCTATGTTAAATACCCTGTAGTTGCATGAATGCATAGATTATACTTGTAGTTCTGTAACAATCTAGTTTCTAGTCTAGTTTTTTAGCTATTGCTCAGCTGCCCTCAGTGTCAGTATAAAGGTCATCTGCCTAAGTTTCATTGGCTTTGAATTACTCAACTGCTAAACAGGGTATAAAGCAGTCGACTAAGTTGTAGTTGGACTTAACGTACACTAAATTGATCTGACTAGAGAAAGGCAAATTCTGTTGACTATTATCAAGCAAGTTTGTTATAGCGATCAAACACTGTTATATTATTTCTGTTTGCTTTCGCTTATCTCTTGAACTCGGCAAACGGCTTTATCAATTTGTATCCATATATATATATGATCACAGTTTGATTAAATTCAGTTGCATTTTGCAGTGCAAAATTGGAATTATGCCCGGCCATATTCACAAGCGTGGCAAGATTGGCGTCGTCTCCCGATCGGGCACCCTCACCTATGAGGCTGTGCACCAGACCACGGAGGTGGGTCTGGGCCAGACGCTGTGCGTCGGCATTGGCGGAGATCCGTTCAATGGCACCGACTTCATCGATTGCCTCGATGTGTTCCTCAAGGATCCCGAAACGAAGGGCATCATCTTGATTGGAGAGATCGGTGGTGTGGCTGAGGAGAAGGCTGCTGACTACTTGACGGAGTTCAATACGGTAAAGAAAAGGAATCCTTCTTTTCAATCTCCAAGACAAACTAATCGAATTCTTTCATCGTTTGCAGGGCATCAAGGCCAAGCCGGTGGTCTCGTTCATTGCTGGTGTTTCGGCTCCACCTGGACGTCGCATGGGTCACGCCGGTGCCATCATCTCGGGCGGCAAGGGCGGTGCCAACGATAAAATTGCCGCTCTTGAAAAGGCCGGCGTCATTGTTACCAGAAGTCCTGCCAAGATGGGTTACGAGCTGTTCAAGGAGATGAAGCGTCTGGAGCTAGTTTAGATAAATACAGAAGGAAATCTATCAACAACAAATTGAACAAAACCACATGTGACAAAGCCGAGGTACCACACGTACGACTCAGATGAGTAAAATATGCAAAGCAGTAAAAATTATTAACTAATTAAGCAAAAAGTGAGGAAATGAACACAGCAAAAAAAAACTGAAATTTTCGAAATCCTAAATAAATTATTGTATGTGAAGAGAATACGAATTATGAGACGTATAAAAAGCGATCTAGAACGAACTGAATTATGTATTCCATAGAAACAAATTTAATTTAAGTAACTGCCGTACCACCTATATATATATATATATATAGTATCTCTATATATATCAAAAGTTGGAAAAGAACACTGCACCGCGCACTTAAGATTGAAAATATGTTGCTGCACTCGCTTTAAATGGCACCAAAAAGTCAACCAGCCTTATTTTAAATATGCCATTAACTATTTTGTTAACGTTCAAGCTCGAAATATATGTTAAAAACATAGATCAAGTTAATATAATTGGGTTTTTAAGTACATATTTCAAACAGCGCGCTAAAATATCAAATAATAATCCCATTCTGTTAATGTACAGAAATTGTAACTGCACTTCCAAATGCAAAAAATAAATCCCTGCTGTTAGTGCTGTAGAGTGAGGAGCGCAAGTGTTAGCTAATGAGTACATTTTGCACTGCAGCTAGTTATCGATAGTTATCGTTTGCCATTGTAGCACTACCCCAGCTGTTTGCATAAAATACCCCAGAATTTTGCAACACTTGCATGTCAAGCGTAAAAGAAAAAATTTCTTTGTGCAATTTATAAAAACATTTCGTGTGCTTAGCAAATTAAATAAAAAGACGTGTGTGTTAATAGCAACAGCAGCCGGCAACAACTGAATACAACAGCAGCAGTCGAAAATAGTTGCAAACAACACAATGCCCGTGTGCTGCAAAGCGCCTGCTGTAGCATATCCAATGGGCAGCAGAACTGAAAATGGTGAGTAAAATAAATTTTAATGCGAAGCCAAACATTGAGTATTACCAATCATCTATATATTTAATTGTGAAATTTTGTACATTTGGTTGAATTACTTGTCCGATAAGCCCGTTGCATACCGTTCATATTCCGCTGCATAAGTTGTTTGCAGGCGCTGCAATTTATCCAGGTACATGTCGGCCATAAGCCGGCAGCGGCTGCCCGTCTTGGTGCGATTGCCGTAGCTGAGCATCAGATCCCGTTGTTCGGGTCGGCTCGGCACAATGGATGCACTTTCGGGCATCTTTGCCTTCTCTTTCGCCTGCTTGGGCAGAATGTCGAACATTATGTTGTATGTGGTTGTATAATTGTTGACCATGTCCTCGTCCAACTTGAAGCACAATTGCGACGATCGATTGCATTTGAAGTTGTGCAGCGATTCGTTGCGCGCCCCCAGAAATTGCCGCTTCGTTTGACTGGGCTCCTCCAGCGTATGAGGCGGCACGTAGCTATCCTGTGCCTCTGATTTGTGCCGTATGCAGGCATCCACTCGGTTCAGTCCTGGCGTCACGCAATTATTCAACTCTTGACTGCCCAGACGCAATTCCTGCCAATTGGCGAGCAGCACATCCTTGCAATAGGTCCTGCAGATGCGCTCATCAATATACGAACCCCTCGGGGCGGTACTGAACATTTCCCAATTAGATGGTACGAATGGATTGTTACCGAATACTAACTTTAACCAGAAATCTCTGAATTTTCATCCAAATACATCTGCAACTATAAAACGTACACAAACCAAAAGCATTAAAAAAAAAAAAAAAAGATTATAAAATTGATCTGTTTGTTCTGTAAACACACATAACTAACTGAATTTAATAATATTTTGGAGCTTTGGGCTGTAGACATAGAGTTGCCCTACATTTTGCTGTCATTTTGTTGGCAGAGTTTTGTTTTTTGAAAAGGTGGCAGCACTGGTCAACTGACTAATTTACCTTGTGGCAATTCTGTCAAGCTTAAATTTCTTATTCTGTTGTACGCCATTTGCAATTTCCATAAGGATCCTTGATTATTTTTGAAGGATTTGTTTGTCATAGTTGAAGCGTTGCCAGACCATTTTACTATTTTCTTACAAAGCCAAACTGAGTCTATACAAGATTCCTTATAAAGTATGCTAACTCTACGTCATTCTATGATCATTTATCATTATGATATTAACATATGTCTATGCTCATATTTAGTTTTCATATCAAACGCATATAATACTATAATTCTCTACATAGTTTAGTCTTCCTTCTAGTTTTCTAACATTTGTTGTAATTTTAGAAATATATTTGTTTGGGTTCGAAAATAGATCGAGGAATGGATCGCAATGCGTTTCTGTGCGCCATTGTTGGCGTTTTTCGAGTGGGTTTTTATTGAAAATCTATTTCGTATGTGAGACAAACGAGCGACAGACTAAGTGACCGACCGACCAACCGACCGATCGACGGACTAGGCCGCCAGGCAGGGCTCTCAGTTCGCATTCGTTGCGTTGCGATCATGTCGTCTGTGTTGTTATTTTATCATGTACCCTGGACGTATTGAGTAGTGTTTAATGGGTAGAGTATATTGATTTAGTTAAATTTGATTTTCAGTAAAACTTGTTGTCGACTATATTTGGGCGTATCTAAAAACAAATCGATAAATATCGATAATAACTTGTTACTAATTATACATTTGTATGATATGTTATGGTATGTGTGGTATGGTAGAGTATGGTATGATAGGGTATGGACTTAGGTAACCGAAACGAAGTATACGCTACTCAATATATATTTCTTCTACAGAGTATCTAGCTAATCTATGCTAGTTTCTATTGCCTTTAAACTTTCCTCTTTTGTTGGGATTTTTTTTTTTTTTTTTTTTTGTTGAAATAGCCCGGGCAATGGGATTTACTTTTGGCTAGCTCAGTGCATAGCTATGCTAAACACATAAGTTTATATATATTTATATCTGTATCTTTGTATCGTCGATATTTATTCTGAATGTAACTAAAACAGACAGCACGCGTTGCATGCATCGAGTGTGTTGTTATTGTTGCTGTTGTTGTTATTATTGTTGTTGCTATTTGAGATGATGCTATAAACGAAATGTCGTCGTCATCTCGATTTGTTATGGTTCATTCTATTGATTGTTGTTGTTGTTGCTGTTTATGTTGTTGTTAATTGTTGTTTCGATCGTTGGTGTTGTTTTTGTTGATATTCCGCTCGGTTTCGCTTCGCTTCGTTGTGTTTCTGTTTCTGTTTACAAAAATTCACAATTTTTACTTGAACGTAAATTTTTTTTTTTGTGCCTTGCAGAAATGTTGAGAATTTGTTTGAATTAATTTATGAGTTTTTTCACGCTGTTTTATTTTATTTGCTATACTTTGTATGCAATGCATCTAGTATTTTCACTTTATATACATATATATATAGCTTAATGAATCTGTGATAAGATCTTTGATTTGGCTCAGCTCCCAGGGCGCACAGAAGAAAAACACGTCTGCGTATTCTATTTTGATGGGGCCCCAGGCAAAAGGAGCAGCTGCCTCTTTGCATAATTCATAACTCCTTGTTGGAATAGGGGTGGGGGTAATGGTGGTGCTAGTGTGGGTCAGCAAGGGGTCACAGACAAAAGCAGCAGCAATCAAATGCGACCTCATGTTGCCCCCTTGTGTATGCAACAAGAATTTTGTTTGCTACCTGCGGCAATAGAAATACTTGAGTGAAGCCCGCTCTTACGCTACGGGCCAACACGCCTATGCCAGTGTTGGAAAACGAAAGAATAAAATGTCAAGAGCGCAAGAAATGTATGTAAATAATTTAATAAACTTAGAGCGAAGTGGTATGAAGTCTATAAGCATTTGAAATGGCAAAAGCTAAAATTGTTTTTTATTTAAGCTTTAAAAGTTGTAAAACTTTGCTCTACATTCTGATCTCTGTGATGGACATGCTGATATACCTCAATATCTTAACTACTTCTGCTTGTTTCTAATGATAAATATACAGTTCTATATCAAGAAACCCTTAACATAAAGAGCTCTGTATAAGAAATGGAATAAAACAATTCCTATACTGAAACAGATCTTTGACTTGAGAATCCTTTAAGTTACATGTAATTTCCATTTCTTCTATTTTTTATTTTCATAGACAAACTTGAAACATAATTCTTAAATAATTTAATTTTCCGATTTAAGCTCGCCTTAAGTTTCAGTTCATGCAATCGTCGCAGGACATCTTTGAGTCAACTAAACGGCGCAGTTGTCAGTCGCTCGATTCATATGCTTGTCTGAATGTGCTTAGCTGGCGTTTTATGCTCTTTGAGAGCATGACAGGACCGCAGCATGCGTTGCCGTTGCCGTTGCCGTTGCCTGCTTGTTGCCGTTGACTGGTGCCTCCTCTGCTTCGAGCAGCCCGCACATTTCATCTTGTGTCAGCTAAAAAACAAGGCAACATGATTACAAGCCAGCCTTTGCCACACAGGATGAAGCTGAGCCACGCGCTTGCCTCTCATATAAGCTGCATAATCTTGGTGTTGGGTGAGTGGGGGGCGTGGCAAGGCTTGTGGCTGTGACTGTGTGTGGGTGGAGGGCGTGTGGAGGGAGATTTATGCTTTCAGCCTGTACACGCGCCGCGCTTAAAGTGAATGCGGCTCTTGTCTGCTGTGTCTCTCTTGTCTGGGTCAAGCGTTAAAGTACAACAGAAAACAACAACACCAACAACAACAAGAAAAAGCAGCAGCAGTAGAAGTAGCAGTAGGTGCTTGCTTGCTCTTGTCCTTGCTGTTAACACCTTTCATGGCCGACAAATTAATTAAAGTGCCCCCCACAGGCGCTTTGTCATAAAACATTTAGCATTTTAATTGCGTCATAAAAGCAGGAAAAGGATTTGGTGGCCTTTGGCATTTGTCAGCTAATTAGATGAGATTAGTTAGCTGCGTCTATCTGCGTCTACATTAATTGAAGTCAATTTCTTGGCTCACAGCGACACTTAAATGCCACACCTACTCGAAGGCGTCGACGACGACGGGAAGTGTTAAACGCAGCATCCTTGCCTTTCATACACGCCTGACACTTGGCCTCGAAACGCAATGCATTGCGCTTTTAAGCTCACACGTGCGACAGACACTTGTCAACTCACTCACTCACACATTATCTCRCTGACAGGCGCACACTCTCTTTACCACACACACAAGCGCACACATACAAACACAGTCGCTCTCTCTCTCGCTCTGTCTACGTTGACCCAAATAAGATGTCGTAATTGCAACAAGGCGCGACACTCACGACATTCACTCAGACACTCACATACGTAGAATTACGTTTACGTTACGTTTACATATTACGAGAGCCGAGCAACAGTCGTCGCAAGTTGCCATCTTTACTTATACGCTCTCTTTAGCTTACGCTCCTTCTCACTCTCTCTCTCTCTAATGAGCGCGCGCTCCATGTAAACAATAGAAACAGCCGAATCAAAGCTGACGGCTTTAAAGTGCCAGCAGCGTCGGCGTTCCGTTTAATTCCATTGTTCCGTTTTGGTAGTCTGTGCATACATTATTTACTGCGACGCATTTGTACACACATAGGATGTTCCCCACCTCCTCAGATGCTGCGTCGTTGCTTGTTTATGTTTAATGATTCGTGTGTATAGCTAATCGCTGCGACTTCGCTTCAATTGCTTTTCAATTTGCATTTAATGGCTGCAATCGTGGCTTATTGTAATGCACGTTCTGTTGCATACTTTGAAGCTGCAATTGCGCGCTGCTTCTCCCGTTCTCTCTCGCTCTCTCTATCTATCTATTGCTCTGTTGTCGAATCTAGGGCACGGCGTGCTCAGTGCAAATCCTTTAACTACTCAATCATGGCACATATTGAGGTTTTGTCTATAGTCACGGTAACTGACAATGAAATCCTCTCGCACACACACACACACACGTACCGAGCTTATACATAGATTGCGTTTCTGTAATGCACTGTGACAGCTGAAAGTAGAGATTCCTCCCCCTTCCAATTAAAGACGCAAGTGCTTCTTCAATTTTACAGTTATTTACAGTTATTCGTAAAAGCTTTTTTATTGCCCATCTCGATTGATAAAATGCCATCAAAATTGGATGAAAACTCGCAGCATCGAGAGCAAACTTAATTTGCGAACCATAATTGAGAGAGCGATGGATGCATTTAAAACGGGATCTGAATTTTTCCAAAGGCATTTGACCATTTTAATTGAATTGCTGCAACAAATATTGAACTAGAATATTTTGTTGACTATTTTTTTAGATAGTTTTTAAATCGAATTTGTGCGATTGATTGCATTTCAAATGCAAAGTTGAATCGAAGGAAAAACTTTTATTTTTTTTGCTGACATGGCAACTTTTCTCTATATAGAGATTATTTAATTTTATAGGATTTTATTTTTTTTAAATAATTGAATTTATACGTTTCATTCTTAATAAACTTAGTACTAAAACTTTACTGTTACTTCATAATTTGGTGGTTAATACCACAGATCGTAATACTAAAATCCTATCCTTTCACTCTCGGAAAAGAAGATACATTTATTTCATACGCCTCTGAGTTTCATGAATAATTACTTTTAATTCTGAAATATGCTATTGAGCTTATATGGGTACTAGAAAAGCATAAAGTTTGATTGCACGCATACAAACAAATTCTTCGATAAACAATCCTGTTTGGCACACGCACACATATACATATATACATATAGGCACATGCAGGCATATATAGAGGCTACTCCAAGGTCTTGTCATGGCCTGCTTGGAAGCCAAACGATGTGTAGATAGGCAAAGATGATGCCCAGCAACAACTACAACAACTGCACAAAATACACGCACGCAGGAAGGACAACACAGCGATGTGAAATGCCACCCCAAAAGCAAATCGTGCGCATTTTGGCTCTGGGGCATAATACACTAAAGTAAGCAAGAAGAGACAAGGAGTAAAAGACAAAGACAGAGGGAGAGAGAGAGAGAGAGAGAGTAAAGGTAATGACTGTTAGCGGGTCGCGGGGGCCACATGCTTTAACCTGTTTTTTCGCAAAGCTTTTACGCACTCCGACTCGATTTCTAGCTAGAAAGAGATGAAAGAGAGACAGAGAGAGAGAGTGCTCTTACCTTGCCACCCTTTTGGCTTGTGCATAAAGCACAAATAGAGCAGAGAGTGAGCGTGCACACAAGAGAGAGAGAGAGAGTATGTTTGTGTGTGTGTGTGCCCCAGCCTGAGTGATGCTTTTGCTTTTCTGACGGCCTTTTCGCGTGCGGTGGCCCAGTATCCATTCGGTCGTGTTCCCATAATGTCTGCCAGCGGAGCGCAGCGCTCGTCTCCGTCGTCCTATTCGTCGCAGCCGTCGTCAACTTTGTCATTGTCATCAGCAGCAGCAGCAGCAGCAGCAGCAGTAGCAGCAGTAGTAGAAGCAGAAGCAGCAGCAGAGGAGCAGCAGCTTAAAAATACATTTTCACAATGAAGCAAACGGGCGAAGGCAAGAGAAAAATGAATTAGTTTGCGTTGATGAAGCTAAAAACAAATACGAATATATCGAGCATACAAAAATACAACAAAATACAGTTCGGAAAATAGTGTGGAAACATACACACGCACACACAAACGCACCATCATGAAAATGGCACGCGCGTAGCAATTAATAAAACAGCAACAACATAAGAAAAACGAAAGCAGGAGACATTAAATAGTGCGTGCAGCGTATATCATATATCTCTATATATACATATATACATATGTATATATATAGACATGTATATATGCACATTCTTTTCTGTGTATGCAGGAAAAGGAAGCCCGGCGCAGTGCTTAAATATATATACATATATATATATAAAGTGCAAAGCAGAAAACCCGTGCAAAGCAAAGCAGGAAAATATTTTGTGTTGTGCGGCGCGATTTTCCACAGTTTTCGTTTTTGTTTTGTGATTTTTTGTCGTGTGAAAAATGCTAGCGGAATTTTCATTTAAAATTTGACGATTTCTTTCGCTGTGCCCTTTTTTTCATTTCTTTTTTGCATTGACTTTTTGGTGTATTATACATACACAGCGTTACACACGTTTTTCACACAACAAACTCACACTCACACATACACATGCATAGGCGCGCATACACGCGTTCGTTTCAATTTCATGTCGCGCTCGTGTCGATGTTCGTGTGTGCTCGCCCCATAGCCGAGTCGTCGTTTGGCGCTCTTCGTTGTTGTTCTTAGCTGTAAATTGTTAGCGTTTGCGAAGCCCTGTAAAATTATTAGCCCTAGCTAAACGACGCAGTTTTTTTTCTCTCTTCATCCATCGAAATAGTTGTAGCATAAACAAACAATAACTGTATAGATTGTTAGGCATTTCGCTCGAACAATGCAACGCGGCAAACTTCCTGTTGGCTCACATTTAATAGAAATGCACGCATTATCTGCACGTACTCTCTCTCTCTCTCGTCTCAATTACTCTCTCCCACGCAAGCGCAGGCGTTCAGAAAGCTCGCTCTCTTTACAACACTAAAGAAATAAATTGGAAAAAAAAGAAACGTCGACAGCCGCAACACAATTTCGAGTACAGCGTGTGGCCTGTGCCAAAGCTTTTTGAGTGTGTTGAGACGGCGACGGCGACAGCGACAGCTGCTGTAAACAGTTGACATGGGACGAAACGGGAGCAGAGAATTGGAATAGCTGTGAACGGGGCAACACTGAGCCACATGCATTCCGGCCAAAGTTTTCGTTTTCCGCGTCTTTTTCTTCTTCGCCTGTCACTGCAATGGGCAAATGTTATTTCTTTTGCTATTCGGGTGACTTGTGCTTCACATTCATTTTCTTGGCTGTTTGTGCCACATGGCGTATGCGTGTTTGTTATTATGGTCGACTACGTCATCCATTTATCACCTGTATTCGCGTCTTATTTTTGCCCTCTACTCTGTGCCATGCGATTCTCCAAATCATGCTGGCGTTTCGCGGGTATTTCCCAAACACACAAATGCAAAGAAAACAAATATATATATATAAGTATAAGAAAATAAGGAACGGTATGATGAGGGGTTGGGGCTTAGACTTAAGAGTAGAGCATGGAAACGAGGAATGAGAATCCATTTGTGTGCCTTTTTGACTTGTTCATATTTCGCATTTACGTTTTATGGTCGCCCAATGCAACTCTTTTGTTTGTTTGTTCAGCGTCTCAGAATTGGATTTGCTTTGAGTGGAAAGCCTATGTAAACAGTTCGATCAAATCGTTAATAATTTCATCTGTGTTTAATGAAAGGCAAAAGAGATTGAGATTCGTTCGATTTTAATTGACTTTTAAGGTAAATTTTTGATTGAAGTTTTTTCAGCCTTTGGAAAATTATAATTTCACTTCCTCTTCTCTGGTTATTGAATTTAGGTTGTGCTTCCCATAAGTTTTCGCGCTTCTTCCTTATCTTTTAGATCTAGAGCTATTTAACCTTCATTTTATCGTTCAACAACCCTCTAAAGGATTTGCACCCTAAACTAAGAAAAAAGAAGAAGAAAAGAAGAAGAATTAGAAAACTTGTAGCAATCAAAAATTAGCATAATTATGACAACGAACTCGCTGGAAGGAATAATAATAACAAAAACAACTGGTCAAAGACTCCACAGTGAAAGAAGAGATATATAAGTAAAGAGGGCAAGAAAGACTGAGCAAGAAAAAGAGAGAGAGAGGCGAAGTTCGTTATGTGTGCAGAAAGCATCCCTTGGCCGTTGTATGCGGCGCTTTTAGTTCATATCCTGGAGCAGGCAAAGGCACACGCATTTCAATTACACTGCTCTCGACGCTTTTGAATATCAAAATAAATCGTAAACAAGGTCACATTCCATGTGCGAGTATCTACGTGTGTGTGTGTGCGTATATGTGTGTGTGCTACACAGATACATACACGAAAAAGTTCGCGCTCTCTGAAAAGTTTTGAATCGGTCAACTTTATTCAATCCACTACTCAACTTGCAGCAAAATGTGTGCCACAAACAACAAATCAAAGAAATTCTCACATAACCTGAACTACTCCATAGACAACAGAAAGTGAAGAACAAATAAGAAATACAAAACAACAAAAGGAAAATAAGAAAATAAGAAAATAAGTAAATAAATAAATAAATAAAGAAGAATAATCAACGGAAAGAAAATAAAATTCAAGCAGAAATAATTAAGAATCACAACCAAAAGAAAAGCTTTAACTAAATAATATTTTTAAAGTATACAACTATACATAAACTCTAAGGACTAGTTATAAATGACTTAGCTGTAAGCTTTAAGGACAAAAGCCCCTAATAATAATTCTAATTGAGAAAACGTCGCAAAGTGCAGAGACCAACAGAAATAAACTAATTACCTAAAGGCAGTTTGTGATTCTCGGTGATATGGTGTAAATGTGATAAACAACGTTATAAAAACTTTTAATGCAATTACAAAAATAAAATAAAAAAGTAAAAACAATAACTACAACAAAAATCTCAATAAATTGTGTTTTCGATTCTACATTTTTTGGTTTTAAATAATTTTTTACAAAAATATAAAAAATACCAAAAAAAAAAAAAAAAACAAAAACAACTAAATAATCAACAACAACAATAACTATACTTATACTATATACACACATATATTATATATATTTAAACTAGACTAAACTAAGCCTTGTCTCTATAAGCGAGTATAAAATCTAAATTATTAACTAACTTTAGTCGCACAAACTATAATAATAATAATTAAAGAAAAAAATAACTAAAAACCATTTAAAAACCTGTGCCATAGGCAGCTCAAAAAGAAAAACAGCCGTAGACAGATCCTTTTTTAAAAAAATATTCTATTAACTGCACTGCCGGCATATTTTTGGACAACAAAAAATATGATTTTACTCCTGAAATTATAAAGAAATTTAATATAAAAAGCAACTCGGAATAAATACGTACAAACATATATATAAAAGAAAAACTCTAATCGTACGCAAAGATTCTTATGAAACCAACCAAAAAGACAAAATCAACAACAACAAGAACAACTAAAAGAAGTTGGAGCATTCAACAAAATGCAATAGTTTTTCTCACTCGCAAAGGTAAAGAGCAATGAAAAACAAATTGAATTAGTATTAAATGTAGAAATAAAAGGTATTCAATTCAATATTAAGAGTGGTATTTGTATTACTATACTATAAAGTTTACTTCATACAATACAAAGTTAAAGTTTACTTCATTCATACTATACAATATTTTCTATCTGGGTGCTCCTAGATATTAGTGTCCTATAATTGGTGAATTTTATGCCATTGTCATACGCAATATTCGTTGCCATTTCCCCAATATCTGTGTATTAATATTATATGAAGTAGCCTGGTGGATTTGTTTTTTGTTTGTATATTATACCATTTATATAGATTTATCCATCATAAATATCTCTTTTATTGGGAATAATATACCATTTTTGAATATTTGTAGTATGATAAGCTTTTAGATAAAATAGTATAAAATATATATATTAACTACAAATATGACCTTCGATATAGTTCGTCCAGAGACTTACCAGGGACTCGAACCCAAACGATGATTGTTCACCAGCCTTGCGCCAAGTACCTTCTCTGACTTCATCTGTCAGACTCTATATTGCTAATCGCATTCTTCCCGTTTATCGGAGTCATGGCAACTCTATGCAAAGGACATAACTAGCCGTCTCGCTTTCACTCAGCAACAGCTATAGTTGTCTCCATCTGAATGACAGCAATTTTTTAACTGTCCACTGAGCTGTCAGTTTATCTCTAAAAGAACTGCAGCAAGCTAGCAAGACATAGGAGCTAAACTAAAATTTAGACATATCCAAGTATTTATATCAAAGTATAATATATTTTATTGCTATAATACATACACTGGACCCCAAAAAAGTATTTATATATGTGTATTACATACTCTTCAATATATTTATATTATTTTCAGTGAAATTCTGTCCACACAACTTCCATAATTTATATTAATACATTTGTCTTTCTTTTTTTTTTTTGCTTTTTGCAGTACATTTTACATAAACTGTGATTATGAGTTCCACAAAATCTCAAGTAGCCCTCGCTACAAATATTCCAACCAACTTAGCCTCCGCCTCAGCCACCTCCACTGCGGCCACCGCCGTTGTTGTTGTCGCCGCCGTTGCCAGCAACAATTCTGCGACGTCACCAGCATCTGCAACTGCAACTGCACCTGCAGGAGCAACAACAACAGCTGCAGCAGCAGCAGCACCAACTACAAGTGCAACAGCAGCCGTGACGTCATCAACAGCAGCAGCAGCAACAACAGCAACCAGCAACAGCAACAGCAACAGTAACAACAACACCAACAATACCAACTGCAACGAGGAGCAATCGAACGCTTCCAATTTGGGGCGTCAAAACAGTTTTGGCAATAGACGCGTAAGTAAACAAATTCATAAATATATATATATGTATATGGAACTATATAGTTATCAAGAGATATGTACATATATATAATGCATATATAAATGGGTCAGTAACAGTTACACAGCGCGTGTATCCATTTACCGCTGAGAGTCTGCCTCTCTCTCTCTCTCTCTCTGTCTCGCTCTCTTGACTCTCTGCACGTGCAGCAGCCATGAACTGGAATTGGTCCGTGCAAAAAAGATACACGCCCAAAAACTGCACAGAACTGGGTCAGGTCAGGTTAACACAATGCATTGAGGGGGGAGATGGGACGTTGGGTCGGCGGGTCGGCGGGTCGGCGGGTCGTCGGGTGTTGTCCTGCAGTTTTCTAGGAATTGGTCTATTGGAAAACTCGATTTGCTGGAAATTCCCAAATTGAAGTGAATGTCAAAGTATTGCATTGAAAATGGCTTTTTGATTGCTGCCCTGGACAAGTGCTTTTCCAATTACAAGCGGAGTTCAAGGTTTATGTGGGTTGCCGGGCGCCTGGGCGCTGGACAAATGGGCCAAGTGTGTGTATGTTGTGTGTGTGGCATATGTTGGGGCCACAGTTCAATTTCAGTTGTTTCTAATTTGTATTTAACCATCCAGGCGACCAATGAAAACAATGCCAAAGCATTTTTGGTTGAGCAGCTGCTGCTGCTGCTGCTGCTTGGACTCTGCCTGCCAAGGTCGATTTATTGATTTTTCCCGCCAACTGATGACGTTCGCGGAAGTTGGCCAACACGAAGTTCGCAGTCTGCACTTTGATTATTCAAATCTGGCCAATTTAAATTATAAGCGAGCAAGAAAATCGTAGTAAACTGCTAGCAACGCCAATTTTCTGACCTTGTTTCAGCTATTGACAGTTAGCTAGATTTGTGGTTAGCAAAGTCTGCCGACTGGGGCTAAGTAGTTATTGTAGGGGCAGGACAGCGTGACTGTTAAGCTTACAAGTTGATGGAGTGATTTGTATGCCATATCTATGCTATCACTCCAGACATAGTGAAGTACAATAGAAAATATATCCATTTTGACAGTTCGTAGAAGCAATTAACTTAGCTATAATCAATATTTTCTTTACTTGCTTCCAAGCAATTCGATTAGGCGCATTATAGTTCTGAGAACAAGCCCTATTAAATAGACCTTAGATTAAGAAAAATTTAGTTTCTATAACGCATATTACAAATAAATATTAAACTAAACAAGATTTTCATTGAGAGAACTTCAAGACAAATATATAATTTTGAATAGGCATTGAAACAGACAAGGCTGTATAAAAATATTTATTTATTATTTTTTTTTAAATTCATCATCAATCTATGTATATACATTATATTGTCTAAGAATTCTTCTGCTATAGCAAGATTAAAATGCCCTCAACTGTAGCTTTTCAATACTCGAAAGATTACTTGTACTTGTGACCGATGACTTGTTTGAAGCAAAATGCAATAACAAAAGAATTTATATTTAGAAATCAAAAAGTATACATAATAGATATATACATATATTTAAAATATATATGCCAGTATATAGTTTTATAATTAAATTTCTGCTAATTAATATAAGAACAAGTTGTAGACAAAAATGCTGTCAGCTGTAAAATTTATAAATGATTGCCAACAGTATAAATTAAAGTATATAGGAGATGCATTATACTGATATATATTGTATATACTTTATATCATATGCATACTTTGATTTAATCACTGCTAAATTGTATGCTCAAAGAGGGGAGTATGATGGGTGTTTATATTGGCCCTCAGAGTGTGTGCTCATCGCTTTGACTTTGACATTGGCAGTTGGCTTTATTGCTTTTGCTTTTGCTTTGGGTTTTCTGCTTTGTGCGACGTCACTTGATGGGGCTTGGTGGATTGAGAGCTCAAGTAGCAGCTGTCTTCTGAGCTAAATTCACTGACAAAAATTCACTGATTAATGATGTGCGATAGGCTGGAGTTGAGTGTGAATATAAAAATCAATGCGGCATTGGGACCAGAGGGGAGGGAAAGTGGAAAAACCAAACGAATTATCTAGTTAAGTGAATAAGTGACTAACGGACTAAACGATTGGCCGATTGACCAACTGACTGAGCGAGTGTGCGACTGATTGACTGACTGACTGGCTTATTGACTAACTGATATGGCTGTGTTGTCCTTCAGCGTTTGTTTAAATGTCAAATGGCAGCCCAGGCTATGAAGCGATTTATGTGGCTGGCACGGCAACAGTCGCAAGGCTAGCATGGGCAGTGAACGACTAAGAAATGCCCTGTAGTTACAGAGACAAATGAAAGAACATGAAGAAATGTGAAGAGAGTCTAAGACAAAATTTTGCATAAAGTAATATTAAATTTTGTTTTTATTTGTTATATTTGTTGATTTAACACTTTAGTGTAAGTTTTGTCAACATTTTTTTTATAAACGGAGCTTTATATGAAACACATTTTTGGGAAAATTTTGTTTTAAACCAATAACTAAAAAATATCTGAGAAATTCATTTGCATCTAGTGAATATTAAAATATATATGAATATAAAAAAAAATTAATAAAATATTAAAAATGTCTTCAGACTGTTCAAAATCTAGGATAGACATTCATATACCAGTTCACTTCCATAGCTAGGCTTTACGCATATTAACCTAGCTAACCTTGAAGTCAAGTTTATTAGAACTTACGCTTGGTCACAAAAAAAAAAAAAGTATCTACTGGGTATCTTAAGACTATAGCAAATCAGGCATTGATTTTCTGTTGCCCCCCACAACAGATTCGCCCCTGTGCCGTTGCCTTCTTTGGGCACATGTGTGGGGATCGTTAACGTCGCCTGGGCGCTGGCATTTGTTTAACATTTTAATGAGCCAACAATTGCATCATGTCGAGCAACGTCATCGCAACGTAGAGCTGACTGGCTTCAGTGGGCTGGCTCTTTAGGTTGCCCTCCTCGCTGTGTTGTGCTGTCCTTTGCTTTCCCTTCTTTTCCTTTCGTTCGGTCTGTCAACTTTGGCATTCAATTGGTGGCTAATTTGAAACTAATTGCTTTCGCTCTCTCCTCATTTTTCTCGACTCCAATGAACCGAACACAGGGCAACATGAAGGGCAAACATCTTACACGCAGCCATGCCATGCGCGAGTCTACGTCGCCGCCACGCACGCCAACGCCGCGAGGCGCCGCCGAGCAGCAACAACACCCCAGCGATGCTCATGAGCACAACAACAGTAACAGCAACAGTAACAACAACAACAATGCCATATTAAGCAACAACAACAATAGCAATATAAACACCAATAGCAAAGCACAATCAACTGGACGCGGCAATTCGCCGCTGATGGAAACGCCCGCTGTGATTGTTACTAGTCAGCAGCAGCAACACTTGCAACAGCAACAGCAGCAGCAGCCGCCGCTGAATGTGCCGCTGCGTGATGAGTCCGAGTTTCCCAAGTTGTCGCCGCCCAAGAAATCTGGAGCTGGCCATCACAATCGCACCAACAGCAACGGCAGCTCGGGCATTGAGTACAACAACAACAGCAGCAGCAACAATAACAACAACAACAGCAGCAACAGTGGCAAAAAGTATGTGGTGGACTTGAAATCCAATGGACTGGAAAAGCATCACAACAACAACAACAGCGGCAGCAACAACAACAGCAACAACAATGGCAACAGTCAGAATTCCTCCACGCTGTTGTACAACTCAGGCATGAATTATAAGGCTGCCGAGCGCCATGAGCGCCACGAACGCCACGAAATGTCCAGCCAGAATAGCAATCTCAGCAACAGCAACCACGAGGAGGAGCAATATCATTATGAGCGCGGCACGGGCGGCGGTGGCAAGAAGCATCGCGCCAACAACACCAATGCAAAGGGCTCCAAGCCCCGTTTGAAGAACCTAACGGGCAGCTCGTCCAATAGCATTGATGCCGGTGGTGCTGGTGGTGGTGGCGGCGGCGGCGGTGGCGGTGGCAATGGCAACTGTGGTGGCAATGGTCAAACGCTTGGCTGCAACTCCAACAATTCGAGCAACAACACATCAGGCTTTATATCGCGCGGTAATTATCAGCATCCAGATTATGTGGATGCTGGCCATCCCTTGTGCATAGCTCAATTCATTGATTCTAGTCTTTCATCAATCAGAGAACTCAAGCGAACAATATACGGATTTTGGTGGCACCGATCTGTTGACCTTCTTCCGGGACACGCTCAACAAGAATCCAAAGGATCGAAACTATCTGCTGAAGATTGAAAAGGATTTGATAGACTTTGTGCAGGAAAAGGGGTGAGTATATATCGACATTGTCAAAGTATATTACTTATCTATCTCTGCATTATAGTCGGGGCTGTGAGTATCGCTTTCCGTCGTCGTCTTCGTATAATCGCATGCTAATCCATCGCACGGCTGCCTTCTTTGGCATGGATCACAATGTGGACTCCGAGACGCAACAGTGTGTGATCGTGGCCGTTACCAAGGGCACACGCATACCAGAGGTAAGCTATATGCTAGAGAATATCACCATATAGCTATATATAAACTCCTCTTACTGCCCACAGATTCGCTTCAAGTCTCTGGTGCGTGGCGATCATCGTGAGGATGGGCGCAAGTCAATTCTAAAGCGCGATACGCACAGCTTCGATGAGGTGCGCCAGTCGCCGTATCTCTGTCCGGAGCGTCTGATGCTCGATCGCAAGGCCAAGAGCTTTGAGGAGCGCGAGGAGAACTATGATCGTGCACGCAGTCGCATCTTTAATCGCACATCACAGCAGGATGGCTACGATGAGGATTGCTATGGCGGTGGTCCTGGCGGCGGCAACGGTGGCTGGCACAATGCAGTCGAGCAGCAGCAGCAGCAGCAGCAACAGCAGCAGCAACAACAACAGCAGCAGCAGCCGCCTCGACCCAAACGTCCCAATGGCAAAATGCTGCAAATGCAGAATGTAAGTTGACTCACTTCGCTGACTAATAATAAACTAGCTAAACTAATTGCTGTTGTCCTTGATTAGTCAACGGAGTCACGTGATGGAGGCGGCATGCGTTCCGGTGGTGCTGTGCCCAAGTCCCACAACTTTGGCAACTACGGTGGGCCGCCGAGCACTGGCGGACCCGGTGGCGGCTCGCTACCACGCGGCGATTCGACCAATTCAAGCAAGAGCGGACGCGGCAGCAACTTTGCCAAGCAGGACTCGACTGGCAGCACCAGCACACCCTGGCGCCTGTCGCCCTCGAGCAGCGGGTGAGTAGTCTTCCAAGTACTTTGCATTAGATTTGATTTTAGATTCAACCCAGCCCCTACCATACCCTATACGCTCGCTCTCTCTTTCTCTCTATGAATATATATATATATATTTATTTATCTTTAACAAACAAAACTTTTTGAAGAAAAACTGTTGTTAAAATTGCCAAAAACATTTTTGTATGCCACCCAAAAAAAAAAAAAAAAAATCCTACATATACAAAAAAATAAATGTATCCAGCTACAAGACGCGCACTCAATCCGTGCGCTCCGATTCCGTAACGCCCTCGCCCACCGGCTACGGCAGCGATAGACAGACGCCGGAGTACAGCCAGCCGACGGCGCAGGTCAATTCCAATCGGGGCATGGCCTCGTTTCTGCAGCATGCAGCGACGCCACCACCACCACAACAACAACCATCATCAACAACAACAGCAATTGCAACGACAACGGCAACAACGTCCTGCACTCCAGAGTCGTCGGCATCAGCATCGGGACTCGTCTGGGCCGTCACAGACATTTCGAGTGTGCCAATTGGCAGCGTCCTCATTGATCCGCAAACCCTCCAACCAATTCTCAATGCAGACGGGTAATTTACAAAAACCGAAAACACACAAAACCAAAAAAAAAAAAAAAAAACAAAAAAACTAAATGCAAAACAACATAAAAATAATTGTGCAGCCAATTGTTATAAACGCAATGCTTTGTTTTTCTTTAATATTCTTTACTAATTGTTCATTAATTGTATAAAAACAATTTTCCAAGTGCTTCAGTATGAGATCATTTAAGAAACTTTCAATTAATTTATGATCAAAGACTTTGTTATATACATTATGTTGAATCACTTTGTTGTTCTGCTTTTGTCAGTCTGCTTACTAGATGAGGTTTTATATTTAATGAAAAAAAGATGTAAAATATTAAGCAATTTTTGTTAAAACTTTTCTTGTTCAAGTTTATTTCAGTCTTCATAAATGTCTTCCGTCTCGCTTGCTTAGTTAGGGCATTTTGCAGTTCGGCATGCCGAAGCCTAATTTTTCCTCCTTCTCATATATAATAATACCCAATGTGTTAGCTAAGCAAAGTCTAACTTAACTGAATTCAAAATGTTTCTGATTATTTTAATCTTTAATTTTTTGTTAATTTTAGTATTTTTTTTTTTTTTTTTTGCATACCTGTTAAATATTTAATATATACTTACATTATATTAATGGCATTTCGATGCGCTACTTTCAACTTGTTGATGTTGTTTTTGTAAATTATCTGCCTTAAAATCAAAATCAAAATCAAATCACAGGCTCGCTCTCGCTCAAATTTATTTTGACTGAGAGTTGGCTCAATCAATCACTCAACTCAGCAGTCACTCGCTCTCACCATGTCACCTGTACAGTGCCCTCACACACACGCCCACACTCAGCTGCTCTCACATTTCTCGCTCAGCTCTCTCATCTATATATATTCAGCTTGCTGCCGTTGTCTCTGTCAAACGACGTTAACAAGCAGTTAAACTAGCTGTCAAATTTGCCGTCTGCCAGTGTTGTCGTCTAATTGTTGTTCGTTTTAATTGCATTGCATCATTCTCTCTCTCTCTCTCTCTAACTCTCTCTCACACACACACTCTCTCTGTCTCGCATTTGTTGTTGTTGTTTTTGCATTAATTTATACGCCATCAATGTTATATATATATAAATCAATCAAAAGAGAATGTCTGTCGCTGCCGTCGCCTTCACTGCGCACTCTATTCGCAAAACTGTGGCAACCCTGACAACTACTGTACTCTTCCTTTTAATATRCTCTAACAGACACGCGCGACAACCAAATATTTGTTTTAATTTTATTATTATTATTTTTTTTTTTTTTTGCATGCAATGAGCGAGCATCCAAAAACACATTGCAAATCGCCGCATTGTAAATATTTGTGCACTAATTGTTGTCCTTTGTCTGCTTGCAGCTCCATTTACCACTATGACCCGTCCAACTTGCCGCCCAACCAGGCGCTGCAGCATGGAGGCAACAGTGGCGGCCAGAACTATCAGTCGAGCGGCAACTCTGGCGGCAACTATGCCTCGTATCGCAAGTCTTCGCCACATCAGCCGCAGCAGCAGCAACAACAGCAGCAGCAACAACAACAGCAGCAGCAGCAACAACAACAGCAGCAGCAACAACAGCCGCAACAACAACAGCAGCAGCAGCAGCCGATATATAGCGCTGAACTATCCTGCAGCTCCACGGAAAGCTATGCCGAGGAGGTGCAATCACCGGGCATGGACTGCTCCGATAGCTACGAGAGCTATCAGAATGAGCCGCAGCAGATGCAGTCGCTCTGCGAGTCGGGCAGCGGCAAGGGCGACGAGTGTGATAGTCTGTCCAGTGCCACGGCCTGCCTGAGCATCACGACCTCGACGTCCACCAAGAACTATGATCGCATCGAGGTGCAGAAGTATAAGAATCAGGCAACCAGTCCCAACATACCAGCCTGCTGTGCCGCTGAAAAGGAGCTCGAGCAGCAGCAGCAGCAGCAACAACAGCAGCAGCAGCAACAACAACATCAGCAGCAGCAACAACAGCAACAATTGCAGTTGCAGGACCAGGAAACGGAAACCGCTAGTGTGTCATCGCCGCAGGAGTTGCCAGCTAGCCAAACGCCGCTGCCAGTGGCCGCAGTTCCATTGAACTGCGATGCCCAATCGCTGTCGCCCAGCACCACGCCCTACAGCCAGTGCGAGATGAAGCCAGCCAGCCAGAGCCAAGCTCAGGCCGTTGCCGAGGAGCCCAAGACGACCAGCTGGACGTACACGCAAAGCTATCAGGCAGCCGATGGCTCCACCGTCTTTCATACCACTACCACGCCCAATGGCGCGGCGCCCTATTGCGCCACCACATATCAGCAAGGGGTGAGTAGATTTAAGTAGCAGTCAAACTAACTAACTGACTAACCTGATTCGGTTATTTTCGCAGCCCGATGGCAGCATCTATGCTGTGCCCCAGGGCATGGTGTATGCGGCGTATCCACAGCCAACGGTTAGTGGCGCTGCCTCGCAGCCGCTCTTCCAGCTGACGAGCAGCAGTCAGCCGACGCAGGCGATATTCGCCTCACAGGAGGCTGGCGAGCTGCCCGGCGGCACCTACATGATACCTGTCTTCGATCCGGCACAGCAGCAGCGCGACGGTATAATACCCGCCCAGGCCATATACCAGACGCCGGCTGGCCCAGCCACGGCTGTGATGCCAATGGCCACCGCCACCTATCCGGCAGCCCAGTTTGCTGCCGCCGCTCCCAATGGTGCGCCCATCTATCAGGGGCCGTTGATCTACTCCAGCGATCCGTCTGGTGCGCCGCTGCAGCAGCTGCCCATGGCCACGTACCCCATTGGCTATCCGTATCATTATTATCATCCCATACCCTACTACACTCTACCCCAGCAGGCAGTCGCTGCCACGCCCATGGTGGCAACTGCTGCGGCTGGCCAGCCTCCGCCCGCCGGGCAGCCGACGGTGCAGGCCCAAGCGCAAGCGCAGGCCCAGGCCCAGGCTGCAGCTCAGCTGAATCTCGCAACTGCCACAGCGGCTGGTCCGCCCACGGTAGCTGGCGGCCAGCAGACCACCAATGGCCACCTCATCACCACTGGCGGCAACGGCGGCAACAACAGCGGCGGCTATATGGGCGGTGGGCGTGTGAAGCGAACCCCTGGCGGCGGCTCGATACACTACAATGCCAGCTATCCGTCAGCAGCGACGGCAGCTGGCCATGCCACTGCGGCACATCATCCGGGCGCCGGCTCCGCGCAGCTGATCGCCACGACGCCCGGCGCCAGCACAACGACATATCATGCGCTGCCCACGCTAACGCTGGCGCATGGCGGCGCGGGGGCCAACACAGATCTCAATGCTGCTGCGGCTGCTGCGGCCGCTGCCGGTGCGCATGTGTATGCGGTGCCAGCGCAGCATGCCACGGCGCTGATACCAACCAACATATTCCCCTATGCGCCCGGCCAGGCGGGCGCCCAGCCGGCGGGGCCGCATAATGCGGTGCTCCAGCAGCAGCAGCAACAGCAGCAGCAGCCACCACCACCGCCGCCGCCGTCAGCGGCTCAGCACACGGCACCACATCACGCTCTCATCACAGCCGCACCGTTCTACCCGGCAGCCAGCGGCGCCATGGATGTGGCCGCCTCTCAGTCGGCGCCGAGCACGCCAGCGGCGCCGGGTCGCCAGGCACCGCTGTTCAGCACTCCACCCGCACCGAATGTCGCTGGCAGCGCCAACAGCACTGGCGGTGCCATCTCGGGCGCCGGTGGCTCGGGCTACCACAGCAACAGCACCACGCCCCACTACTACCACAGCCAGAGCAGCAACGACGGCGGCTACGGCACGCCCTACGAGAAGCGCAACAACAACACAAGTGGGCTGGGCTCGACTGCGCCCAGCGTCGGCCGCAAATCCTACCATCCGGGTGGCTACAATCCGCGCCACTCGCTGCCGCTGGGCGGCATGCCAACGAGCGCCAAGACGCCGCTGCTCAACTCGAACAACGAGCCGACGCCGCGTGCCTCGCCCAGCAGCGTTAACCTGGGTGGACCGTCGACATCGTCGAGCTATCATCATGCCGCACACCGTGGACCGCCGCATGGACTGGGCAAGCGGGAGAATAAGCCCACGCAGCTGCCACTGATCAGCGGACCACCGCCCAGTTATGCGCCCACGACAAGCAGTCCAGCTGGAGGAGCCGGAGGCGGTGGCAACATTAGCTACGAGACGAAGCCACCAGTGCGTCTGAATGCAGCCGCTGCCAGCTTCCGTAGCCAGAAGACGATCAATGCGGACTTCAGGCGCAGCGTCTCGCAGCGCAACTCGCCGAGCGCCAATGGCAACAACGGCGGCGGCAGCCACGAGAGCAGCAACAACTCGCCCAACAGTATTGCAGGCGGCGGTGGCGGCAGCAGCAGCAACAACAGCAACAACAACAGCAGCAGCGCCGCCAATACGCCCAATGCCACCAGTGCACCACCCACCACCAGCCTGGGCACCCAGTACATCGTGGTGGATCCATCGACGGGCGCCGCAATGAACGCCTCGCCGCCGTCGCTCTATCTGAGTGGCGGTGGTGGCAACGCTGGCGGCGGCAGCGGTGCCGGACCGCGTGCCTCGCACATTCCAGCCCAGCTGCACCATCCGGCCGGAGCGGCAGCAGCGGAGGCGGCTGCAGCAGCAGCCAACAGCCAGCAGGCCACAGCGGTGCTCAGCGGTGTGGCGGCCCTCGGTGGCTACAATCCGAACGGGGCGTCCAGCGTCTACATCAAGTATGGCCAGACATACTTTGCGCATGTGAGTGGACTGAAGAATTTCTGTACGGAATGTTTTATACTCACATCTCTCTCTCTCTTTTTCCCTCTCTCTAGCCCTCGGTGGCCTTGCCCAACAGTCGACGTTCGCCCTCGAGCGATATCCGGCCGCAAATGGCGCAGGTAACCGGCATGTATCCCGCCACAATGATGATACAAGGTGAGAGGGGATCCTATCAGAGCACGAAATCCAAATGGGGCAAGCGTAAAAAGTGGGGCAAGCAAGCAAGTTATATGTCAAGAAAATAAGAAGATGAAGAAACCATAGGGTTAAATGTAAGAATTGGCGTAAGTCGAAGTAGCATTGGAATCACATAGATAAAAGTAAAATTAGAAACGTGTCTAAACTGAGTAATTGTAATCAGTACATTCAGAAAGAGTTGGTAACTGTATATAGTTCTATATATATATATATATCATCATCTATTCCACTTTGATTAATATATTTCCCTTAACTCTCTGCAGCACCTCCACGTCATCCAAGTCGTCATCCCAATCCGAACTACAAGGGCTCGCGTCCGCGGTAAATCTAGCCTAACTGCTAAATCTGAACAACTGGCGGATAGTGAGAGATAGCAACAAGCAGGAAAAGAAGATGAGGAAGAAATAGAAGAACTACATAAACATAACGGCATACCTAAGATAAATATAAATAGCAACCTAATCTAGTGGAACATAATGTAGTTGACAAAAAAAAAAGAGAAAAAAAAACACAAAAAAAGTAAAACGAATGAAACGAAAAGTGAAAGAGTGAAGAACGATGATGAAGTAGATGAACATGATGTAACAGAGCATAGGAGCAAAGGGCAGCAGCAGAAGCAGAAACAGAGCAGACTGAAGATGGGAGGGTGCAGCAGCTAACGGGACTGCAAGCTTAATGCAACAAAGTGTTGAAACAAACTTCCGCAGGCAAAAATGAAATTAATAATAATACTAATTGAAAATGCTAACTAGCTCTAGTTAAGGAATTTTGCTTTAGCTACGACAACATAAGCAACATCAACAACAACATCAACAGGAAAAGCTGTATATTTTGTGCCATTAAAAATAGTCTTTAAAAATCAGTAAACATATATATATAGAT